AAAAAAAAATCCCTCACCGAAATGGGATTACTTCATTACCCATTCACAACTAATTTACTGTTTTTGATAATTTATTGATCTTTACTAATTGAGATTTTACATTCTCTCTTAATTTTTTAAGCCCCCTTTTCACCTCTCAATCCTTCCTGGTCTGCTTACTTTGGGCTGCATTAGGAGTCAAACTGATGATTGTGATCTTGCTCCAGACAACTTGGTATAGGATAGTGTGGCCTTATCTTTTCAGCCTAACAGTGTCATATATGGCTCTTTGGAGTTTATTTCAGTGTTTAAAGTTGAGTATATGAAGGAGGTCAAGAATATTGGTGGAACACAGAGTGTCCGAAGGAAATGCTGTCATGTGTAAGAACTATTGATGTAGGTAGCTGTAGGGACACTAATGACACATAGGGTGTTAATGGCCACATTGTCCCTTCTTGGTTTGGAATGATCAGAACACAGGGCACTCTTTAAGTGAGTCTGTTTCTTGACAAAAGAGTCTTTTTTCAGTTTCTCTTGCTATCAGACAGTAATTTCAGAGGTGAAAAAAGGGAGTATAGAGACATCCTTGCCTGTACTTCACTAGAGGATTAAGGAGTCGGGGAGGGAAGATAGGAAGTAGGAGAGGCCTGCTGAGCTCATACTCCACCTACAAAAGCTGTGATCAAAAGGTATGATTCAGGACAGGTCCAGAAAGAATAAAAGATGTTTTCTCATATGCCGTTCATATCACACCTCTGTACAGATTGTCCTTCGGGGAATGTGACCTATTTACTGTGGATATTAAACATGTAGCCTGAAAATACACATTGGTTTTGAGTAGAAAGTTGTGGGTAGGGAATGGGGAGAGGTGCATTATGAATATTTAGCCCGTTCTTAGATGGAGGACTCCTGGTATGGTACTGTAGGATCAGCACTGGATTTTGAACCACAGGATCAGCAATTCAAACCCACCTGCTGCTCTTCAGAAATCCTATCAGGGTCGCTGTGAGTCAGAACCAACTTGATAGCACTTAACAGCAACAACAAACTTAGATGGAGGAAGGCTTTGCTAAGTATGAGCACATTACAGTTTTCAACTGGAGCGATAATCAGCTGGTTCAGAAAAATTACATTAGTTTGGGAGTTTTTGTCTGCTTGCAATTGTCTGGAGAGGCCAGAACAGGCAGTTAAGTTTTATTTAGGGTGCCTAGAGAACCAGAAAGGATCTGAATGGTTTCACAAAGGGATAGAAACAAACAAACAAAAAAGTGTTGGATATTTTGCCCTTTCAGTACACACAGAGCAAACAGCATCAGATCTGAAAATTTCCTGAAATTGTCTTCACTTGCTCTGCTATGGTGTTAGAGGACATGAGGTTCATTTTGCTGTTTCCCAAATCCTCTCCACTTAAATTTTGCCAAGTGTAAAGTGTATGTCTATGAGAAATGTCTGCCTTGAAATGTGAGTACTAGGAGGAAACAGTAGAGGAAATGCTGAGTGCATTGTTTTGATTTTTCCTCCTTAACTTCAGTTAACCTGGAAGTCTGATTCCTCCCATTCAAGAAAGAAACATTGCAGATTTATTAGTCTAACACCAGAATACGGCAAGGATTTAAAATGCTTTTAAAAAGAATGCTTTATTCTTAAATGTTTCAAACCCCGCTTAGATATAGTGCCCAAGGCAGAGGCTAGAACCTGAATTGTTCATGTCCTTTTTC